CCCGGGGGGGGGGGGACCGTCCCCAAGGAGATGGTGTCATCTCCACTTAATCCAGTGCTCCGTTTTCGCAAGTGACAAGCAAATCGCGGAGGAAAAGGAAAGTCTGTCGCCTTGAATCCCACACTGGGCTGATTGCCTCTACTTCTGGTGGGGACTGGGAGACAGCGGCAGAGCCGGGGGAGGGCAGCGATGGCGGGGGGGCTGCATCCCACAGCGCAGGAGATTGGTTTTCCCTGGCTCAGCTCTCAGCGCTGCTTGCGAGGCTGGTGTGGAGCATAACTTTGCCTTTTCCAGTCCATGGGGAATAGGGGGACAGAGGGCATCTCCACGCCATTACATCATCGCCGAGGTCCAGCACAGCCTGGGTCTAAAGACCCAACGGTGATCCAAAGAGAGGAAGGCTGTAGGTGTGAGTGTGTTTTGGCTTTGGAAAGTCGCCCTGTGCTTTTACCTGGGAGTGGGGAAGGGGAGGGGGTGTCACTTCTTAGATGCAGTTTCCTCTTCATGGAGAGAAACAAGCAGCAGATGAAATGCTGGCAGTCTTCACGTATGAATTTAGTCTTCTGACTGACGTCTGCACTAGGTAGGACAGAAGGGTCCTTCATGCTTTACTCTGGCTGCTCATCTGGGTGCATAATAATAATTTGTTAATGGCAGTAAAGCTGCTTTCTCAAGAGTTGTAGAGAAGTATTTGGGGGATGGTGAGAGGAGGAGGTAGTGAGTAAAGAGGAGATGAGGCTTTGGTGTAAGAAATATGAAAGAATTTTTTTTTTTAATTCCTTATAAAGGAAAGAGATTGATCAGATCTGCCTGTGAGTGACAGACAGACAAACCCGGGCTCTCTCCCTCCCACACACCACACAGACAAGCAGTCGTGGTCTCCCTTGCATGCATGTACACGCTAAGCACACAAAACACATGCTGTTGAACTCACAGAGTCCACCCCATGCTTAAATACAGCATCTTGGTCTCACTCTCACATGGATGCAGGCGCCTTTTCAAGCTATGCAGCTCCGCAGTTCCCCCGCACTCAGACACACAGACTTGATCTACACATGAACACGCACCGTAATGTGCAGAAATAACTGCATTGATATTCTCATTATGCGAATCAAACATTCAGACATTCACATGAGCATACACACGCTGTCTTCTTTGCAGGTCTCTCAGTAGGTGGTTTGTTCCTCCAGCGTAGTCTTCTCCCTTCTAGTTAGTTCCAGGCATTGATTTGGGTCTGACTCCAAAGCCCTTTGGGACCCGGCGGAAAAAGCTCGCTATGTTTTGTGTGTCTACGTTTGTTTTACCGCTCTTTGTGTGTTCCCAGGACTCAGTAATGATTTCACTACTGGAAAAGGCAGACAAGCAGCAGACAGGGGACCCGGGGAATGGCTGGGGGGAGCAGTGGCAATCCCATACCCATCATGCCCTCTCTGGTCAAGAGCTGGAGTCTGTGAGTATGGGAAGTGCTCTGCTAGAGTTACGTTGGTTTTTTCCACGTGTGAGTGTGCCTGTGAGCAAAACCACATATGCATCTATAGCCAAAACACACACGGTGCAAGGCTCCACTTCGGTCTTACCCTGGTTCAGAGCAAAACCCTCTCATCCTTAGACCGCAAATACTCCCGTGCCTTTGGAAGCCCCTTTGATCAGAAACGGCGTAGTAGTGCAGGGGAGATGATGTCACTGGTGTTAGATGTATTTAATCAACATCCCCCTCTGACCTTCCTCCCCTTCCCCTCTTTCCATAGGGCCTAGTGAGGAGGCTGTGCAACCCTCCAAGAGCAGGAATATAACGAGGCTGACTAAAGTCCATGTTAAAACTTTGGAGAGGAGGAACGTATGGTGAATTGGCTTGCTATAGGTAAAAGGTGTTCCAAAAGAGATGACGGAGAGTGTATCTGTGTTCCCTCCTCACCTCCACTGTTTACTACATTGGAAGTATGTGTAAGGCTGATGCTAAACGCTACGTGGGAATGGGTCTGCCAGCAGACAATAATGATTGTTGTCTGCGTAACAGAAATAGTTCAAAGCCAAACCCTCCTGCCTTTGCTCAGGCAGAAGTCCCACTGCCTGCTTTGAGTGCATTGCTCGGGAAAGCACTGCAGAACCTGACTCCAGTCGAGAACCGGCGCATCCGTACCCGTCTCCCTGCCCACCTCCAGGAGTGGATGTGGATTTCTAGAGTTTATCCAGGGCTCTCTGTCGACACGGTATTTACAGCTGATGCAGAGACGTTAAGAGGGCAGGAAAAAATAATTGGAAAAAAATCGCGAACGACCATAAATGAGGGTGAAGAGCCCCAAAAGCACCCCGAGGCATGGCATTCGTAGACGGAAAACCAGGGAGGGAC